TAGCATTTCTCGTTTTATTTCTGTGTTCTTAGTAGTGCTAATGGAAATCTGTCTCTTTTTAATTTTTGCAAAAAGACATTCACTACACCAGATTTCCATAGATATGATGAAGTAATTTAATATATTTTCAGTTTGTAGTTCATCTTAGCATTTGTGCTGTAGCTCATTTTAGCAATCTTGCATAAGTGAACAGAAAGGGCTGTATTGGGTTTCTGTTGTTGGGATTTGCTGAGCATGTCAAATGGATTTCAAGGTTTGACATTAGAGGCAAAGAGGGTAATACTAGTTAGCCAATTAAAGCGCAGGCCGCTATTTTTCTTAACAGCCTGTGATGTGGCTGCTTGATTTAAAAAGATTCTGAAGTACTTGGAACATATTTCAAGCAGTTGATGTTTGAATTTAGTTCATGTTTTATTCTTCTGTATTTACAGTGCAACACGCCTTGCTTGACTTGCTCTTTCATGAAAGCATGTTGTTCCTTGATTTCATTTTTTCCTTAATTTGAATATCCAAAGAATAATAAAAAAAAACACTGAAAATGTTTTATTAGTAGTTGTTGTGATCAGAAATATGTACAATGAATAGGAAGACCACTAAACCACTTATTTTACTAATAAGGAGGGTGATGCTTTTGGAATGCAATAGATGGTAATAGAACAATACTGCTCAGTAGAGCCCTATTTCTAAAACGAATTTTAACATAAAATGGAGTAAATATTGTGGAGAAGGAGCGAAATCTGTAGCTCCTGATCTTGCCAAATAAAAGCATCTGGTATAAAACGCCGATCTGTGTGCATACACTCAGGCCCCATGCAAAGTGGGATGTGGGCATCGACCCAAAATGAAATGTAGCAAAAATGTCATCCGGATGCCAAGTGCTTTTCCCTCTCACTCTGTGGGATCTGTAGTAGTCATCAGCTTCAAGGAGTAGGCCTGGCTCAAAAACATACACCCAGCTGTTGCATATTAGATAATGTCCAGTGTGCGCCATGAACCAGTTAAAATGTTAAACAACAAAAATGTTTGTGTAGCTTTATTAGTTTTTCTTTTTATTATAGGTTGCAATTCCTATTTCTTTTACCAATCCTAAATTTGCATGGAATTGTAATACAGTATGTTTATTGGGCAAACACATTTCCACATTTGCTACAGGTTTAACGTTACGTAACGTTTAAAGGCTGGCCAGAAAATACATAGGTATTGAAAACACAAGTTGATGAGTTTTCTTTCTTAAAATAATACTTTTGAAAAGATTTGTTTGCAAAATGGTAGCTGCTTTACCTTTTACCTTTTGAATAATTGTTTTAGTGGGAATCATGTCAAAATGTATTTTAAATTTCTCTGTTTCAAAACAGTGATTTGTCTTTTTGGTTTTCTGCAGCCTGTTTCATGCAGCACTACATCTTAAGGAAACTGAATATAATTCCATCTATCTTATAATTGATGTTTGTTTCCTTAGTTTTGTAGGCTACTTCTTTGGCTGAATTTTTTGGTGAGTTCAGCTTCAACATTATTTAAAACTGTATTAACTTAAGAAGCTACCAAGGTAAACTGTAAAAGGAGTCCGTTCACCCCAAAATGCTGATTTGCTCATTGACCTCTTTTGAATCCAGTGATTCCTATTGCAGGGACTGAGGTTGAGCAACATCACTGTGTTTTTTTCTTTTTCAATTGCAAACAATTGTCCTTGTGTATTTGGGTCAGCATTGACTTTACTGATACTTTTATGGATTCTGAATATTTGAGCTATTTTTGCAAGCTCCAATGCACTATAATGTACATGTAAACTTAAAAAGTTAAAGTAAAAGAAAACAAATTCCTTGAATGATGGCATTCATATAACTTTTGATTCCCGAGAGCTTTACATACTGTACATACAAAACAATCTCCATCTAAGAAGAAAATCCACTTTGTCCACGACTGAAGTACAACATCCACTTGGGTGATACTTCACAGCTATAATGATTGAGCAGCACCACTAAAAAAATTGTAGAGATCAGTGAAGCTCATTTACTAGCTAAATTAAGGGGGAACATAAGACTAGATTGCGCAACCCCAGAGAGAAATTTATGCAGGATAATCATTTTTATTTAATAGTTGGAAATGGGTACAATACACAGTGTAAGTCCCAACATTTACAAAAAAATAATTCACACAGAAAAATGAAACCATCAGTGCTGTAAGATTTATATTGTAAAAAAGTAATGTGCATGAAACCAAGAAAGCTGGTCATTTTAGGTCTCACTTTTCACTTCAGAATGTTTTGACAGAGGGGAAAAAATTTGTGCTCTGGCCCACATCTTATAATAAGTGGGTCTAGGTAAACAAAAACACAACCATAAGATACAAACCCGCTTTTGTTTATTTAGCGTGTTAGGAAAACAAAAACAATCTCCATCTGAGCTCCCCTTTCAGCTTTTAAGTAGACTTCTGCTCCTGGATACTTCAGCTCCTTACTGGCTTCAAACACAAGTTTTGAAACTGAAGTCTCTTGCTCTTTGAATAAAGTTTCTTGCTAACATCTTTCAAAGTCTTTCTCCGAGACTATTGACCAAAACTAAAAACTGAACAAAAATCAGTATCTATCTGAAACTCTTGTAGAAACTCATGTCACTATTGTTTACTGGAATCCTTCTGATCGTCAGACAGCAGGACTAACAGCTGTAAGCATCTGTTTTAGTATTTTTTAAAGCATTACTTGTCTTTTCCCAACTTGCCAGGTGACTGTGGTAGCAGGACAATCCCCTCAACTTCCATGGAAATGTAGTTCAGAACAAAGCTTCCATCCTGTCAGAATATGCCATCCCCTCACAAACCTTTGAATTATTTTTTTTAAGATGCACAGTACTTTAATAATAAAACTGTAACTGAAGCAAAGAGAAAGAATTAGGTAACAGAACTTGGCATACCATACTGTAATTCCTAGTGTTGACTTGTTCAGGTGAGGGGTGAAGGTGGTGGATGCTGCGCTAGAGGTGGTGAGACATAGGTACTAGTTCGTTTTCACTAATTACGCAGACCCTGCTATATATACTATACACAACCTACCTAAAATGCTAATAAGAGCTGGTGTTGACATCAGTCTTGACTGTAGCTATGAAATAAGGGGCTTATTTTTATTTCAAGTTCGCATTTATTTGTCATTCCAGCCATACATTCCAGCCATTCCATACACAACACACTGGGGGGATTTAAACCCTGTTTCTGGAATTGGAGTGGCTGCAAGTAGATTCCAGGATATTGAGGAGCCTGACGGCCTGTGGGAAGAAGCTGTTACAGAGTCTGGTGGAGCTAGCCCGTACACTGTGATATCTTTTCCCAGATGGTAGGAGGGCAAAGAGTTTATGGCAGGGAAGGGAGGGGTCATCTACTATACTGTCTGTAGTACCAGAGTGAGTTGAATGATTTATTGGAGTTTATAATGAACACTCCAGAGCAAAGACTAACTCTATGCCATGAACAGCTAACTACAAATACGGGTTTCAAACAACCTCTTCTCAGCATTCGTCACTATGCATCTCTCCCTTCACCCCATCCTTACCTTTGCAGCTGTTCCTTGGTCCATTGTACCACATTTGTTCTGATGGCAATGTAGACAGGCTGCTGCTCCCCTAGCCTCTAATTCTTAATAACTGCCTGTTACATTTGAACTAGTGTAAATATAAGTAAATAAAGCTGTCAATAACAGTGAACTTTATCAGTTTCTTTACTTTTAAGCTATAATTTCTATTTCTGAAATATTTAAATAATTTTATAGTAATATTTTATAGCTAAAGTGAATTTTTTTAACGTTTACTCAATAATGCTTCATAATGGCAACCATAAATGAAAGTACTCAAATTTAAGGTTGGAGATATGATCAGGAAGAGGCAGCTGAGCCCAAAACTGTGAGGAGGTAGGAGGGGTGACACAACTCAAGGAATAAGGAATATCTCAGGTGGGTGAGAGAAACAACATAATTTATGCTCAAGGATGCTCTAAAATGTACACCAAATGACATACCCGATGCATACTTCATTGCTGACAACTAAATCCCATCATGACAGTGACATTCCTCTGTAAAGAACCAATGGCAATACAATAGTGCTAAGTCATTTTTTGCACAGAAGGCACTATTCTGTTATTGTTCTGTATCTTGCTATGAGCATGACGTAACGGTTATTGTCCACAAAATGCTTGTTAAGTCATATGCAATATATCCACTCTCAATGGTACGGTATAGAAGAGCTTAAATACAATATTTCACTTTCCTCACCTTTCAATACCTGTACATTTTCTATGGGAATGAGCAAAGAAATACTTTAAATCTTCTTTCTGTAATATCTATAAATATAAAAACCAGTAGGTGTTTGTCACTTGGCCTCTTCTGAGAAGTAGTGGTCTTGAGCAAGGTACTGTACATACTGTAGATAACAGTAAAATACTGTAAATAGGTACATCAGGAGCAATTTTATTATTGGAGCCAGATATTAGTCTTATAAAAAAAGTTCAGAAAGTTTTAGAACAGCAGGAGCAATGAAGTTCATACAAACTTGCAAAACCAAGTTAATGCAAAATTCTAAATTCCCAGGACCACTGCAATGCAGGAGTCACAGACCGTCCACCCCCTCAGAACTCTGCAAGAGAATTCCCTACCTGAACTAGCAGTCTGGCTTTTATTTTCAAAGCTTCTCTCTTCAAAAAATGAATTCACTCTATTAAAAGATTAACAGGAAAACCCTTAAAATAAGTAACTGAACTCTTAATAGTTTTTTTAATTTCTGGTCTTTAATGTGTAATTGTATTCTATGCCACTTGGGAGTGCTGCAGTCCAGTCTTGACCTTTCCCAAGCCTGCTTTGCTAATCATGTAAAAGTTATAGCTATCATAAATGTCTAAATCTTAATCTTGAAATGACATGTCTTAGAAATGTGTACATCTAATAAATGTGTACTTCTAATATGTAAGAATATGGTAGTTGAGTGTTTGTAATGTTATATCACACTTTATCATCACAATGTTGTGCAATATTAGTTGACACAGCCCACTATCATGTTTTAACTCCCCGTTCTCCCAAAATCATGGAATTAAAAAGCTTTGATGAGGTTTCTTAGTTGTGCCTTGAATATGTACTTAAGTGTTACATAATACTGTATATACTGAAGGCATTAGAATACCACACACAACATTGGTAAGTATGATTGTTTTTATATTTTGATGCATCTGTATTATGGAGTATATTATTAATTGAGTTAATAGTTATTGTACATACCTATAATATAGTGTCTCATGGAGAACAAGCTGGGGTATGCGAAAAAAGACTAATTCCGAATGCAATAAAAATTGTATATGGCTAATAACGTGATCTTATCTTATCTGACCATTATATTGAAGGCCACCACTTAAAGATGTAATGGAGATGATTAGCCTATTATCGTTTATCGATGAGTGTATTCTAAATTCCATCTATCCATTTTCTAACTGCTATGTCCAATTCAGGGTTACAGAGGAGCTGAAGCTCATCTCAGCAAGCAACAGACAAGGGGCAGGCAGGATACCTTCTGGATGGTATGCCTGGTATCGCAGGACAGACACAGACGCGCGCACACACACTCACACCAGGGCCAGTTTTCCCAGAAGCTAATTAACTTACCAGTATGTCTTTGGACTCAGGGAGGAAATCAGGACACCTGAAGGAAACCCACAGAAACACGGGGGGACCATACAAACACAGATAGCACCCCAGTCTGGAATAGAGTCCAGGGCCCCTGTGCTGTGAGGCAGCAATGTTAACCTCTAATTAGCTATTATTTGTATTCACTCCTCCTTTAGATTTTTGCTGTAATGCTCTACTGCCTGTGGCAATGCTACAGATGTTGATAGAGTTGGATGTCTTTGTAAGTGTATGCTTGAGGATGTAAAACATGCACCATGGTTTCAGTAGGTTTGAATGTGACAGATCCACCAGAAAGGTTAGCATGCTGGGAATTGTTGTAGGCTACAGACTGTACCTGTTTTAAGTTTGTTTTGTGTCTTTTTTTAAATAGTGACCTGCGATAACACCTCCTGTTAACATCTGTTTGAGTGGGAGAAGCAACAATGTGAAGGGCAAATTATGTTATGTAAATGTTGAATCTGTTGACACCACCATAACCTCAAAGTACATAATGTTAAGTGGCAGCAACCTACAGTAGATGTGTCTGTAGAATCCAGTCGACCAAGTGTTGTCATTACCATTATTTCTATCCATGTAAGACTGCCTTAGATCATTTTACTCTGAAGAGACAAAGTACATTTTTCATTTTGAAAAGTCTTAGATAAACATTGTAGGACTGCAGTGAAATAGTAAAGGAGAAGTGATGCCATTTTGAAGAGACCTGTAGGTATTTTGTTACACACAGCTGTGCTTTCAGACAGTTTGAAGTAAAAAAAGAGCATGCCTCAAAGGACACATTTGCATCCAACAGCTCGTAGCAGAGACAACCAATTCAGTGTAATTAATCAGATTTATCTGCAAAAACGCTTAGTTCCTTGCATTTTAATTATTTCTGAAAGTCATTAAACGCAACAATTGCAGATGATATGCTTTGTTTCTCATTGCCTTTGCATAGCCAAGATATTTTCACCTACATTTGAGTTTTTCAATACCTCATTCAAACGATCAACATTTCACATTGCTATGTTTTGTTCACCAAGAAAAAAACGAGTTTATTTTTTTAATTGATACAGAAGAGTCCATAATAAAATGAATTGTTTTTACAGTTTTTTTCCTGGATGCATTATTTAATATGAAATGCCCGCCACCTAATATGGCTTTTTGGGACGCAGAGACAAAGCATGATAAATGCTCCCTGTCTAGAACATTAAACACAGCAAAATCCTACTTTCAGGGCTTCTTAGCTTTGTAAATTGTACAGAGAGTATGCATATTAAGAGTCTTTGCATGATACTGTTATGCTCTTCATAGAAAATGCCGTGTCTTAACTTAATACCTCATTGTCTGTTTTGAAAGCCCAACTGTGAAGGTTGCTCAGGAGAAAAAAGGCAATCATACATTTGATTTGCATCTTCAAACTGATATGGAGATAATTAATAATAGGTCAAATGAAATCTTTTGAAAATATAACAGATCATTTGTAACTATAAAGAAAGGGAAAACACTATATGTGCTGTTTGGATAACTTGCAATGTACCTAAATGGTGGAAACAGTGCCTAAAATTTAGTGTTTTCCTTTAATCATGTAATTGTGAAGGGCTTGGCTCATTTTTATATTAAAATATATATAGTACATAGTCTATAGTATTTCAAATTCTAATAATATTTCAAGCCTACACAAAATAGGATGAAACTTTTATTTTGATAAATTTGATAAATGTTATTTAACCAGTAATTACAAAAAAAGCTAATATATTGTCCATAACCTAGCCACTTAGAATGCCATACCATACCATAGAATGTATCTCAGGATGTCTTGCATGATTGTTTACAACAAATGATAATTATACAAATAGTTTATATTATGTACATTCGATCATTATAATACTAATTTTGTGACCCAGTTCTTCCTTATGACTCTGAAGTGATTAAGCTTAGATTTCTATGCTATCCACAGACAAACAATTGGTAATTCTAGATTAATTTCAGTAATTTCCATACACTATGATGATTTTCTTTGTTTTCATATTAGAAACAAATATCATATTTCCATTCTAGGATCATTATAGCCACAGTAGATGCTGCTGTCTCTTAGTGCTTGGGTCCTAGGTATGATTCCTGACAAGATGCCTTTTTTGTGGGGTTTACTTATCTCCTAGCACAGTTCTGGTTTCCTCCAACAGTCTAAAGACATGATGTTACCTGGAGTCTTTATATTGTCTCTTGAATGCATGTGAGTGTGCTCTGTGATGTACTGGCAGCAAGTCCAAGATCTGATCCTGCCTTGAGTCCTGGGCCTGTCAGGTTAGGCTCCAGCCCACCACGGCCCTCTAAGGATAAAGCAAGGATCACTTAATACCACTGTATAGGCAAAGCATTACAGATTAGATCTGATATCTAATTTTTGTACATGAGATGTACCTCTTTACTGTAAAATATTGTTCCACCTGCAGGTGACTATAGTCACAAAGAATCTAGAAATAATGGGTAATGCCTAGCTAGTCTCAGCAATTCCAGCTTCAATACAAAGGGATGCTGAGATGTAGGGGATCCAGAGTCAGTGATCAAAGCAGTCACAAAGTTTACCTTGGTTTACCTTAAGTTCTTGGTAAAAGATTAAGCTTGAATCAACAGTCCAGAAAGACACCATATAAGATCAGATCAACACGGAACAGAGGAAAGAGAAGAGAACACAAAGAGACCCCAATGGAAGTAAGTATTTGAACCTTGCAAGGAGACAGGAGGGGAGAGAACATAAAGTGTGTGTCAGATGAGTGGTCCTTGTACAAGATCATCCGAAAACACCCCAATGGAGGTACTGTATGTATTTGAACCTTGCAAGGAGAGTTTGCTATTCTGTAGTTTTTAGAGAATGTGGGTTTCCTGAGTGAAGAATCACTCAGTTAAAAATGGTCTTTCTTGCATAATTGGGGTCATTTAGAATAGTGAGATAGATTCCCATTTATTTTGTGCCATCCAGATTTGCAGAGACATAAATTTAACTCATAAGTTGCGTTCTATTTTGTTTTTGAAGGTACTGTAATTTATTTCTTATTTTGGCATTTGTAGGTGCCAATAGTTGAATACATGGTAAAAGACTGGGATGTGTTGGGGGTGGTTGGGACGTTAAGCCCCTGGGATGCATTGTTTGTAAACTTCTTTTGTACCTAGGGAGACGTGTGTTGTATATTTATGTTGTGGGTAGTTTAGTTTGCGTCACTGTCATTGTTAATAAATATTTGTTTAACCAAGTGCCTGAATTATTATACTTTTAATCAAAACTGTGTCAGAGAACAAAGAATTCACATGTCTCTAAAAACACCAACCCACATCCTGTGCTGAAATCTTTACGAGTTGAGGGTTATGATAATTTATTTTACTTATTGACTAGTCTTCTACTGTAGAAGGATTCCCGAAATAACTGAAAGAGAGATGAAAGTATGACTTTACAGAACTGTTTTAGAGTACATGCTTCTAGGGCAGTACAACATTTTGTAACCAAAGTTAGAAGAAAGAAACAAGACCCAATTATGTGATAAACTTTCCAAGTGTACTTGGATAATAGATCCTGTATGGGCTAAGACTCCTCTAATGGACCATTAATAGTTAAAATAGTTTGTTATCCTTGATCAAGTTTTCATTTTGCCACATTTTACAACACCTGGTTGGACCATACATGGATGGAGACTTTAGTGGCTTTAATTTGAATATTGTGATAAAAAGAACAGCTCTTAGATTACCACCTCTAAATTAACATAACATGGTCCGTGATTAGCGTTGATTGGAGCTGTTAGACCATATGTAGCACAGACAATAAAACAAATGAAAAGGAAATTAGATGAGTCAGAGATGAACTTTTTTGGACTGAGAATGACCCAAAGTGAAATGTAATTATAGACATTTAAAAGGTGCTTTTGAAAACAAAGTGAAACAGAATCTTAATTGTGTTACCCAAAAGACGCACTAAGGTTTGAAGAGGGAGTATTTTATGTTTCCCATTAAGACCATCATAGCCTAAGGTAAGAATTTGGCTGACTGAGCCCACAATCATACAACAGTAATGAAATTAAGATTGAGTGTGTGGTAAAGGATTGACTGTTATTGTTTTTTCAAAATGACATAAGTGGATTTAGCTGTAGCAAAAAAACAAAGATCAGTGGTGCATATGGCTGTCTGATTTGATTTGGTAAGAAGCAAGACTTCAGATTCCTGGTTTTCTTTTCTCACACATACTATAAATAACTGTAAAATC